GTTTTATAAATATTATTTCCACTGAGGATTGCCAGATTTAGCAAATAAAAATACAGAAAACTCAGTTAAACTTGAATATCAGAAACAATTTTTTTTTCATTTGAGTATGCCCCAAATTATTCATTGTATATCTATCTGATACTCAAATTTAGCTGAGTATCCCACATGTTATTTGGTAACCCTATTGTAAGATACCTTGATCCCTGATACTTTCTCACTTTATTAGAGACCTGACTTTTTTCACATAACCTTATTTTATTTAAAAAAATGCCTAACTTCTTAAATGTCTTTCCTTTTATGAAGACAACCATTTCTTAACTTCACTTCTCACATGGCTTCTCTTGTAGCCACTGAATCACTTCTTCCCCATCACAGGAGATTTTCAATTAGTTGATGCCTTCAATTTTTCCCAGTTTCCTGATCCCTCCTGACTACAAATCTTCCTGGAAAACAGGATTTCATTTCAATGTTTCCCTCAATTTATTCCCTGGGTACATTCCCCTTTTGAACTTTCTGCCATGCCAGTTACTAATTCTAGATCTAACAGTAGGTTTGCCCACGTTAACTTTCAGGCTTTAGAGAGTTACTGAAGACAGTCATAAAAACTTGGTAAAACTAAAAGCTTTGACATTTAGCATCCAATGGGCTTTTTCTACTGCACAGAAATCCTATCATTCATCTTTTAATTTATTCCTCTGAAAGAATTATAAAGCATGTATCATTATATCCCTAAACGCAATTTCAGAACTGGGTTAGTCACCTGGGATAACTGAATTAAAGCTGCAAATTCCTTGGCCATACCTTGGATTTACCAAATGAAAATCTTCAAGTGGAAGAATTAAATAGGGAAGCTGTAAATCTGAATTCTCCACTAGCTCCTAGCTCTCCAGGTATTTTATGAACACTGAAATTTGTGAATCATTTTTTATTGAGTAAATTCAACGTCCTTTTCCTTCCAACTGAGAAGACCAAGGAAAAAATAACTTTTATTAACTTTTTTTTAGCAACAAATATGATAGGGTTACCTCATCTACTCTCCTTTCCATTTGAAGTTTGAACTTGAAACTATAGACTTCCTTCTCAAAAATAATTCATATGATATCTAACTTCATTGCCTTTGTCTCTTTCATAATATTCCTTTTTCAATAATCCAATTATTTCCTACAATCTTCAGTCCCTGCTCAATGAATCCTAGTACCTTGGAAAAGATATGACTGTCCCCTTTTGTGAATGGAGGAGGCTTTCTTTTCATACCATTCCCCCATAAGCTATTTCCCCAAATCCCCATAATGGCTGTTTACCTAATAAGCAGAAATACCACCCCCTTTATTGTCTTGCTTTAATTTTATTCTTAAACTCTCATAATCCAATTTCTTTTTCATTCTCTCTCCTACCCAAAGTTAAGAAATGGTCACATAATAGCTGTTATCTCCTTGTCCTATCTCAAGCCACATTCTCACTGAATTTTCATTCTTAAAACTCTCCAAACTAGAGATTCTCACACTTATTTACAGATTAGAATCAGATGGAGACTCCAAAAATGCTGATACCTGGGTCATACTACAAGAGCATATGATTTAATTGGACTGGAGTGTGACCTGAAGTTTTTCAAGATCACTAGATGATTCTTTTGTACAGATATGTTGGAAAAACATTGCTTCAAACACATAACCTAATACTCCACTGAATGTAAGATGTATCATTATTGTATATAGCACAGTTAAAGAACAATAAAACACCTAAAATGAGTTGGAATCTATCAGGAGAACCCTACAAAAGCTGGAATCCCAAAGGACTACATTCTTTTAAACTAAAGTAAATGAAAAATCCAAAATTTAGAAAGAAATTAGAGGGAATAAACATCAATAAATCTTGGCCTTGGCAGGAGAGTGGGACATGGCATCACCTTAGGAACATGAACCCTAAGTTGGTACCCACAATGCTTTCCATTCTGAATTCATACCACTGAAGTGGACCCAAAAACCTCTAACAGAATTTAGTTGAAAGGTGCCTCAGATTGAAAGTATTCCCAGATGACTGCACTTAGATCCAAGCATAAAGTAACCCTAAAACAGCCATAAGTTACAAGATATATCTTGATTAAAGAAATAAAAATATTAAAAGAAAATTATATTGTGATCGATAAAATACAATAATAAGAGCACACTTATATGATACAGGTTTTCTAAGGACATTACATGTTTTAACTCATTTAACCTTGAAGACAAAGAAGCTACCATTAATCCCATTTTACAGGTAAGGAAACAAGCTCAGAGAAGTTTTTGCTCAAAATCACAGTGCGATGAGGACTTAAAACTCTTAGGCCTGCAAATAAATATCCAATAGACAACTAAAAGCAGGATAATAAAAAAACTTGGCATTTCTGCCCACATTTTGCATCTGTCTCATTTGCTGTGAGTCACATTGGATTTCAGGAATAACAAGTCTGATCACAAACATCTATGATGAATTGACACTATCCCCCAGACAACAGCAACTTTCTTATTACACAAAACCCCCACCTGACCAATACTGATATCAAAATCAACCAGACTACACAGTTTAACCAAGAATGCTTGGCTATGCATATTTCTGGTCTCCCTTGTCTATATAATCTGGAAGCTCATGTCAGTACCCTCAAAGATAAGACTTGAGATGCTTGTCTCACCTTTCCTTTTCATTATGACCACATGGATTAAAGTTTCTTTTCTGCTCTTCGCCATTACTTTTTCTGCTTTGTTTTTGAGGCAAGTGGCCAGATCTGATTTGTTGGGACCCCCAGAGTCAGGCCTCTTGTCTAGAACTCTAGAGACAACAAAACTATTAGATATGGAAAATGGAATGAACTCAGGCAGATGTGGCTCCAGAATCCACAACCTTAGCAACCAAGCTATGACAACATCCATATTAAAGGGATAGGCAAGAATATAATGACCCTAAGCTATAAAGGAAATTATGAAAGTTACCAGAGAAAAAACACAGTACTCACAGTGGAACAACTATGGAAATTATTGCATATTTCTTATCAGAAATAATGAGGCCAGAAAATGAGGCCAAAAAACAAAAGAATATCTTTAAATTGTTGAAGAAAAAAAAAGTCAACTCAATTCTATATACAGTGAAAATATATAGGGAAAAATAAAGATGTTTCCAGTACATTGAAGTTGAGAAAATTTATCACCAGTAAACCCACACCACAAAAGAACACTAAGAGAAGTTCTTAGGTTAAAGAAAAAAATACATCAAATACAATACAATTCAGATCTAGAGTGAAAAAATGAAAAGCATTAAAACAATAAATATGCTATTGTTTTCTTATTTAATTAATTTTCAGTAATACAGATTGAACCCAGGGTCAGTCTGTCACTGAATTATACTTCCAGCCCTTTTTATTTTTTATTTTGAAACAGGGTCTTGCTAAATTGTTCAAGCTGGCTTTGAACTTAGATCATCCTGCATCAGCCTCCCAAGCTGCTAGGATTACAGGTATGTGCCACCCTATCCAGCCATTGGCCTGCTTTCTAAAGCAAAAATGTTTCTAAATAAAACAAATAAAAAGGAAAAACACCCTTAATTAGAAGCTTATATGATGGACACTAGCCTGAATGTAGTCCTAAAATATAGCTTTCCAGCTCCCATTAATATGCACAGATGAAAATGACTTTACAAAAGATTGTAAGTTAGATATACAATAATTTACTACTCTAGGTAACCTCTAGGCATCCTGATAAAATAATAAAATAAATTCATTTTCTCAATCTCAACTTTTATCCTGATATTTCTGTGGTATGTTTGCTAAAAATGTAACTTCACTGCTTATAAGAATAAACTGACTTTCAAATAATTTGTCAGAAAGCTCATTTTCACCAAATCTCCACTTGATCCTAAGCCAGATTACCAAATTTTCTAATATTTTTAAATGGAACTTTTGATAAATGTTAAGGACAATGAGTAAAATTAGATAACCAAAGTGTTGAGAGATTAGAGAAATTTTGATATAAAACATGTATAATGATCTGTACAATTAGAAAAATGAGAAATTATACCCCAATGATTCAAATGTATGAATTGCCAAGATCATTGTAATGTCATGTGTAGCTAATAAAAAAAATATATAATGCAGCTGGGTGCTATGGCACATGCCTGTGATTCCAGTGACTCTGGAGGTTGAGGCAGGAGAATGGCAAGTTCAAGACCAGACTCAGCAACTTAGCAAGACCCTAAGCAACTTAGAGAGATCCTATGTCAAAATAAAACAAATAAAAAGGGGCTGGGGATATAGCTCAGTAGTTAAGTGTGCCTGGGTTCAATTCTCAGTACCAATGGGGAAAAAAATGCATAATAGGCAATTAACAAAATTATTCTATATTCTCTGACAGTATTCAACAGTAGAGAAAAGAAAGGCTGGGTTAATCTAGACAAAGCTCTCCTTATATACTTAGATTATTCAATCCAACTTTCTCTTCATTTATTACCGATAAATTAAAGTTGATTGGACAGACAGTATTGGACAGATTTATATAACTACATATACTCAAAGTAAAGCAAAATTACATTTTTATGAAGCAATTTAAAATAACAAATACCATAATTTATATAATTTTTCTACATCTCAGAAATGTCTATACTGCCCCTGTAACTCAATAGTGACCACAATAAGATTAACCATAAAGCTAAAGGAGGCAGATTACTTATAAAAAAAAAAAAAAAGATTTGTTCTTCATACCACAGACTCAACAATCAACAAAACAATCTAAAATAAGACACAGGGTTTTAGTACTCACAAGCAATGAGAAAGACTAAATCATGTAACACTGAAATTTGGTCTTGGCGCCACATAACTCATTATGTACATTACTCATTGTACATTCAGCATATCAACTAGATTCCTTTGAAAAAAATCTCAAACTTGATTGAGGATTTTAACAACTCTCCAATCAGCAAATGTGTTAACTACAGCCTTTCCAATAATAAAAAGATATTTAATACAACTTTCTTACCTGTCTCAACAGTTTCTCAATGGCTGACATTACCATAAGGCCTCTCCAAACTACTGGTGCAGTTTCTTCAACCAGGAAGCCCATAGACATACTGCAACAGTAATATAAAAACAAAAGTCATTTCTATAAATTAATGGATATTAGTCTGCAAAGTAAGACAAAATTAAAAAGATATGCTCACCATGCAATACCGTAATTGAAAAGAGGCCTCATAAGGTTGTCTGAAATAAGAAAATAAATGTCTCTTTTAGAAAGGTAAACCATTATACATAAACATACTGCTACGGTTTGAATCTGGAATGTCCCTGGAAAAGCTCATGTGTGAGGCAATACAGCAATATCCAAAAGTGAAAAGACTGGATTATGAGGGGTCTGACCTCACTGGTGGATTAATCCATTTGATGGATTAATAATTTGAATGGACTTACTGGAATATGTGAAAACAATAGGCAGATAGGGCACAGCTAGAAGTAGGTCGCTGGTCTTGAGGGGCATGGCCTTCAGAATATATCTGTCCCTAGCTCCTTTCTCCCCTCCCCCATCATTCCCACTTGTTATGAGTCAAGCAGCTTTCCTCTGCCGTGCCCTTCTAGCATGATGTTTCTACCTTGGAGTCAGCCAACTATGTACTAAATCTTCTGAAATCATGAGCCAAAATACATCCTTCTTCATCTAAATTGTTCTTGTCAGGCATTTTCATCCCAGCAAAGTAAAGCTGACTAACACACACTGATGTTTATTCATCTTTTAAAACATTTTATTATTTTTAATTGATAAATAATCACATATGCATGTATGCATTGTATAATAGTTATATCAACATAATTAACATATCCATTTATATATATATCCTTCCTTCCTTTATGGCAAGAACATTGAAATTCACTCCTTTAGCAATTTTGAAATATATAATAATGTATTATTAACAATAGTCACCATGATTGTTAGAACTTATCCCTCCTGTCTAAATGAAACTTGTACCCTCTGATTAACATTTCACCTCTTCCTATGCACCCTTGTGGACAGGCTGCTTGTACTGCTGTAATTTAACTTACAATTAATTAAACTCAATTTGTAACCATTTAAACATTAGAACAATCATACTATTTATATTCTTTTTTATAATCTTCTTTTTTAAAATATTTATTTTTTTAGTTTTAGGTGGACATAATATCTTTATTTTACATTTATGTGGTGCTGAGGATCAAACCCAATGCCTCATGCATGCTAGGTGAGCACTCTGCCACAGAGCCACAATCCCAGCCCCATAATTTATATTCTTGATAAATGCAACATCTAAAAATAGTTGGAATATAGTTAGCTCCATTAAGAAACAATTCATCTACAATTTCAACATGTTTCTTAAAAAATAGCCTCAATAAGTAATTTTTCACCAATTATATTCATGTATATGGATATACAAATACATAAATTATATATATGTATATATATATATGCTTATCCAGTATGCATATTCTTATATGTGTATATTTGCATATACACACATATAAACACACACATCTAATCAATTCTCCCAACACTCCACAGGGTTGGGATTGAACCCAGTACCACAAAAGAAAATATATTTTTACATAGTCAGCAAATGGTTATTATAAAATAGTTTCTTTCAGCACATTTTCTATGTAACCACATCTTCAATGACCACCAGTGTTGGGAAAATTTCATCCATAGATCACTTACTAAAGATGCCATCCTTTTCAGGTTAGCAGGTTTCATGTAGTAATACTCCATTGAATATTTTTCCCTCCTGAGGCACTAAACACTGTCTCCATTCCTTCATACATGGACCTATAACATCTAAACCTAAGTCATCATTATGTTTTGGATTTAGAATGTCCCTTAAAGGCCCATGTGGTGAAAGATTTAGTCCCAAGCTTGGTGTTATTGGGAGGTGCAAACTTTAAGAGGTGGGCCAAGAGATCTTTATAGGTCACTTGCCCTTGAAGAGGACTGTGGGACCCCATTCTCTTCCCCTTGTCTTCTTTCTCTTACTATGAGCAGCTTTGCTCCTCCACATGCTCCCCTACATGTGATATTCAGCCTTGCCACAGACCCAAAAGCAATGGAGCTAATTGACCATGGACTGAATCTTCTGAAATCATAAGTCTTTTTACTTCTTTTTAAGTTGATTCTCTCAAAAATAACCAGAAACTTCTACAAGTGATATTGGAGAAAACATATCTATAGCAGTGAACTCCTATTTTCTTATTATTTCGGAGAAATCTACTTCCTTTCCTAATATTTTGTTCATATTTCATCCAATATTTTAAGGTATATTATCATAGGAAGAGTTTCTCCAAACACCTACCCTGCCAGATTGCCAGAAATACACATGGAAAGTTACTTATTTTTATGTAGTGGTCTTATATCTCACTTAAAGCCCCCAAGGTATCTTTTAGAACTCTCCTTTTTTGTTGTTGTTGAGTTTGTTTGTTTGTTTGTTTGTTTGTTTGTTTGTTTTTGGTACCCGGGATTGAACTCAGGGGCACTCAACCAATGGGCCACATCTCTAGCCCTAGTTTGTATTTTATAGGGTCTCACTGAATTGCTTAGTGCCTCGCTTCTGCTGAGGTTGGTTTTGAACTCACAATCCTCCTGCCTCAGCCTCCTAAGCCACTGAGATTACAGAAATGCACCACTGTGCCTAGCACTAGAACTCCCCTTTTTTTTTTTTCCATTCGTGTTACAGTCTGGCTGAGAAGCTGTCTGTATTTTGCCTGTGTCACGAGACTTTCTGTGAAACTGATTTTTATTTTTTATTTTTTTAATTGATTTTTAAAAAATATATGACAGAAGAATGCATTACAATTCTTATTACACATATACAGCACAATTTTTCATATCTCTTGTTGTATATAAAGTATGTTCACACGAATTCATGTCTTCATACATGTACTTTGGATAATGATATCTATCACATTCCACCATCCTTGCTAATCCCCTGCCCCCTCCCCCTTTCCTTCCCTCCCCTCTTCCCTATCTAGAATTCATCTAATCCTCCCATGCTCCCCCTTCCTACCCCACTATGAATCAGCCTCCATATATCAGAGAAAACATTCGGCATTTGTTTTTTTGATATTGGGCTAACCTCACTTAGCATTATCTTCTCCAACGCCATCCATTTACCTGCAAATGCCATGATTTTATTCTTTTATTACTGAGTAATATTCCATTATGTATATAAGTTTTATCTTATTATTCTGTTTGAATCTTCTACATAGGCAAATATATTAAATGGAATTAATAATAATTTTGTCTTCTCCTTCACTATATATGCTCCTTCCTTTTATTTTAGGACATTGGCTAAAAACTGCAGCAGCAATAGCATCCTCATCTTGATCTTAATGGAACATAATACAACATACCAAAATAAAATCTGAGAATAAAGTGAGAACCTGTTTCAAAATACAAACAAAAAGGGCTAGAAATGTAGCTCAATGGTAAAGCATCTCTGGTTTCAACCCCGCAAAAAATCTAAGTAGTTTAAACCCTGTTCAAAACATGACCAGAAATTCTAACTAGGATTGGGATAGTCAAAAACATTCTCACAAAACTGAAACATAAAATCTCTGCATACTACATAAAGAATAGTCTTTGGGGGCTGGGGTGGTGACTCAGTGGTACAGCACTTACCTAGCATGTGTGAAGCAAAGTGTTGTATTCTCAGCACCATATATAAATAAATTAAATAAAGGTCCATTGACAACTAAAAAAATATTTTCTTAAAAAATGGTCTTTCACTTATTTTATCAGTATGTTATGTCATAAACCACAGAAATATGAACTTCAAATTTCTTGATGTTAATGAATGATATTATAAATTGAAAGCTCAGCAAAGCAGAAAATTCATCACCAAGTTAAATGTGTATCTTGAAACTTCAATAGGTACTCATTTCTACAGCCCACACAGTAATGTAATGCTTAACAACAGGGATGTACTGAAAACTGCACTGTCAGATGATTTTTGTCATGTGCACATCATAAAGTGGACAAAATGTACACAAACCCAGATGGCATAGCCCACTACACACCTAGACTACACGGTATGTGTATAAATGAGTGTGCATGTACATGCACATGTGTATGTGTGTGTGTGTGTGTGTGTGTGTGTGTGTTATAATCTAATGTTCCTAGGGTCACAATAAACAAAACAACATGAGAGTAAATCAAGCACAAGAGAAAATGATGCAACAAAGGGACACAATAAGCATAAACTATATGTACTACATGAAGCTGCTGCCAGAAATAACATGGAACATTGTTTTACAATAAAATTTTTTATGAGTATAAAGAATATACTCTAAAATAACATTAGAAGCCTATTAAATATACAAATTAGTAATATAGTTACTTATCAACTATTATGTACTGTACATAAAACAAATACTTAAACCAGTAATACAGTCATTTACTATTATTCTTACAATCATTCTATTATGTATAATTGTAGGCACTATACTTTCTTACAATTGGCAGTAGTAGGTTTATTTACACAAGCATCTCCACAAGCATGCAAATAATGCATTATACTATACATTATGTTAAGATGGCTATAATGTCACTAGTGAGAGTTTTTTTCAGTTTCTTTATAATCATATGGGACCACTGTTGTATATGCAATTGGTCATTGTTCAAAATATTAGTATAGTGTCAATGACAAATTGGAATGATACAGAGAAGATGAGAAAAGTAAATCAAAACTACAGTGAGATACCATGTTACTCCAGTAAGAATTGCTATCATCAAAAAAGACAAAAGATGTCACTTTTTTTTTTTTCAAGGATGTAGGAGACAAGGCACACTCATACATTGCTGGTGGGACTGCAAATTGATGCAGCCAATATGGAAAGCAGTATGGAGATTCCTTAGAAAATTTGGAATAAACCCACCATTTGACCCAGCTATCACACTCCTTGGTCTAAACCCAAAGGACTTAAATCAACATACTACAGTGATGCAGCCACATCAATGTTCATAGCAGCAAAATTCACAATAGCCAAACTGTAGAAGCAACCTAAATGTCTATAATAGATGAATGGATAAAGAAACTGTAATAAGTATACACAACAGAATGTTCCTTAGCAATAAAAGAGAATAAAATTATGGTATTTGCAGGTAAATGGATGGAGTTGGAGAATGTCATACTAAGAGAAGTAAGCCAATCCCAAAGAACCAAAGGCCGAATGTTCTCTCTGATAAG